CCAACGCCTACTGGATTCGGTTCTCCACGACACAACAGGTTGTGCTGACTGTCTCATGAACTTGTCTTTTCCAATTTTCTTGGAGACAGTAGATAAAAAGCCCACGCTATTTTCAAGGACAATCTTTCCAGCTTATTGAAAGTTTGCCGCTCGTTCTTCCGAAAATAAAAACTTCTTACCTGTCAATTCACACTCCGTTGTCCTCATGCAAAACCCCAGCATTTAAAATTTTCCAGAATCATTGATTGCCGTTGAAACATTATAACCATACTTTTACCCAACACTACTTGGCAAGTATCGTGATGAGACGAATACAGGGGAAGGAAGGAAACCCTTCTAACGTCCGGTGCGTCCTGATTTGAGTTCGAATATTTGGGGGAACATGAACGCCATCTTATGCCTACTTTGAGTATTGTATTGGGAAACCGGACATTGCGTCCTGAACGTACCCATGTGTACGTCTGGACCACATCCGCAGAAAGGTACGTACGGAGGCACGCATGCTGACCTGAAGGACGCAAATGCGTAGGTCTCACATTTGCGTCTCTGCTAATGTGGTTTCTATTTTGCTGTGTAGTATTTGCTCCTTTCAGTTTGACACTGCCAGTCGCCTGCGTCTTCATAGCAATTTTCAGTAGGTGGGAAAACTCGCACTTTCTTGTAGTATTTTTTAAATGAAGATCGAGCACCCTCTCACGTCCACAATGTCAGGTTAGTTGATGGGAATGGAAACGGTAGAGTCCTGCACGCCCAGGTTTTAACGCGGCTGATTCGTCTGCTATGTATTCTGATCCTCGCCCGATCCAAAATTCGATTGTAAGGATAGGTTAACCTTGCGAAAACCAAATCTTCTTATGTCCGCCACACTCATTAATCCACACGAAGTGCAAAATAGTCATTGCATGTTTCTTTTTTTTTAAGGCGATAGCGGCATACAGGAGAAATATTTTCAAAAAGAGTTAGAGCCCCGCAGTTCTTGGTCTTTTTGGAATAAATTTGTAACTGCTCCATTTAACTTCTTTCGCTGTTGCGTATTTAGCCGTTTGTGATATCACTTGACCATGTAAAGTCTAAATCCTGGCGCAAAATCCGTCCAGGACTTTACTGGGCGTACGTGATCCAATCCTGGTGCATGAGTACGTCCGGCACGAGTTCACACACCAAAGTTGAATCCGGCGACCGGCAAGCAGAGACCGGAGAGTTCACGCACATTCATGTGCTTCACTCCCTTCTGGAGAAGCAGGCCTGCAAGTGGGAAAATCTTATTACGAAAATGTCCTATAGTAAACCTATAGACTTTCCTATAGGTTCCACTCTTCCTTCGGTCAAGAGAAGTATCATTCTTCCCTCGCGACATCAGAAATCAAAAGACAGAACCTGCGAGCACGTCCCTTTGGTCAAACTCCTTTTCGGATATAGTCGACTTATTCTTGTACGTGGTTTGCAAAGGGAATATGGGCATATTTCTTGCCTGGACCCCATGATTCTATCTCGAAGATGGGGATGACAAATAAGAAAGTGTCGAAGTTTATTGATCGCTACAATGAGGCGAGGCGAGACATTTGGGGATGTACAAAACCCTCCTGTGAGAGATGATTCCATGGGTAAGGGGAGGGCACTTTTGTGTCTTTTGAGAAATGCGAGAACTCCATACCTCCATCTAGTGGCCTATAGGAGAACTTCAAACGGAATCCTATAGGCCTATAGGGTTCCGTATAGGCCCTATAGGGAATCCTATACGCTCCGCTAGTCCCGCCCCCAAGATGCACGTGGCTAGCGTTAGGGGGTAAACAAACGACGCGCTCGGCTATCCCGCTCAATGTTCAGCTTTTATTCCAATGCATTCTCTTTCATTTCAATGAAATGAAAATCACCCCACCATTTCACTCGAGTCCCTTTGAATTATGGGAGTGTGAAGATTCACCGAACACCCAATTATTCTCACTATTTTTGTAGCTCAGGGACGTAGATTTGTGGGGAAGTATCACGGCATATCCACGCCTTATCTGGATGGCCCTTACCACACGGACTCGACAGGAGGTGATCTTCCATGTCATTGCCTACTCCTCAGGAGTGAATCGAGTTTTCCCCCTGAAATAAGGAGGAAGTTTCCGTGTTCCGTGAAGATGTTCGCTACTCCACTCCTTTCCACCACCGTTCGATCACTGATGCTTCCAGTATAGCATTCAATGATGAATGTTATGGTTCCATGGCGGGGCGACACCATTCATCACTTTGAAGGTATTGCATGACTTGTAATTACTGTGAGTAATTCTTTGTGCTTCCAGGCTGAATCTAGGAACAGCAATTTCGATCTCTGTTCAATCGATTATCATTCGGCAGTTGGAAAAACTAGCAAAGGCATTGGAAAGTCGAGTCCTGTCCTTCACACTGGGGACGCAATCCATCATTCCCACATAAACGATCTCGTAGCGAGCATTGAGACATGTCATCAGTGGCGTAGGCAGAATATCGGCAAGGGGAGGGGGTTGAGGCCAGGTAGACACCCCCAAGGTAGATAAAATATATTCTATCTACCTTGGACACCCCAACCCTACGCTTAGCTCCACCACCCGGAATTTACTTTTTTGAAGAAATCGTTCTTTTGCATCTACGGTCTGTGAATGGACATTGGACTTTCCTCGAAGGGGGGGGGTAACTAAAACTGGAATCCCAAGGAAAGCTGAAATATGCCTGTCTGTCACTGACCAGGAAACCCAAAGGGGGGGGGGGTTCTGACCCCCTAACCCCCCCCCTTCCCTACGCCACTGTACGTCATCAGGATATTCTGGACATGACTTCGGTTCATTCCAAATCGGACGGACAGGTCCTCATCAGGCACTGCCAATCCTAGTTTGACAGTTCAGGGAAAGTGGCATGCAAGTACGTTTTCTAGTATAACGCAAGAAATTCCGAAATATGAAGCGGAACGGAGATTTGCAGTGGCGCACAAGTTGAATCACGCGCTCTAAGCAGGTTTGTTTACCCTCTAATAGCGTCCGCCAATCACATTCCATGAGGGGCGGAGCCGACTAGCGGAGCGTATAGGTTCTACAGGGAACCCTATAGGTTCTATAGGGAACTCTATTGGTTCTATAGGGAACCTTATAGGTCCCAACTGAACTCTAAGGGGCCTATAGGAACCTATAGGATTTCTATATGTTCCTATAGGATTCCTATATACAGTATTTCTAAAGGAATATATAGGGAGCCTATAAGGCATTTTCGTAAGGGTCGCCACTCTTAGAAGGTGCAGGACTCAAGTCATCGGGTCACAGATGTTCCTGGAGTTTCTTTCGTAATCTAAATTAATGCGATGCTCCTTTTAAATTATCGATATGTAACGGCCCATTGAGAAATACCGTATACCAGGAATACTAAAATGAATTTTAAAATATTATGGACTTCTTGCTGATAATTCAGTTCCACATGTTTCTAGACTCATATCAAGCACTGGACTTGGTAGCACCAATTTATCTTTCTTCAACCCCTTCCCGTTACCAAATTCAACTTCCTCGTATTCCTCTCCGAGTGCATCAACATGAATGAAATTGAGCATGCTTTATACCCTTTGAACACAAAACCGCTCCAGTAAATTTAATGCTGGGTTATGGAGAATACTGAATCTCCCTTTTGAATGTCAATTTTATTCCAGTAGTCTCTTTCTCCCCCTCTGGGTAGCCACTCCTGGGGGGTTTCGGAGGAAAGAGACCCACCAAATATAAGATATTGACTTGTAGATGATAAAAAGTGCCTTTTTGTTAGCGATGCACCGTTTCGCCATTAAAAACATTGAATTACTTGTTCATTTCGGCTTAGCGTGCTGGCTTCGGTCCCGTCCCCAGTGTTGCCGGATATCATGCTGGGGTTATATCAGATTTATGACGGTTTCGGCCTTCGCATTGGTATCTGGATCTTTTCTTATGTATTAGACATTTTTGTGCTGAGATAATGAGATGAGCTGAGATTTAAACGGTGATTAGCACTGGTTAATCGATATGGTGGGATAAGGAGATTTCATTTGGATTTGGACATCCCTGAATTAAGAAGATGGCGCCCAGCTTGCATTTCATGCTTCCGGAGGCATTCTCAGACCTAGTCGTGACGTTTCGAGGAACTCCATATGGACCTAACATTCCAAGTCCGCAGTGAAATTGTTCTTGGAACTCGAAACAGGCTTCTAATCGGTCTAACGTTGCACGTCGTCAACGAGATGTCAGGAAGACCGCGGTTTTCATCCTTATAGGCCCAATTTGCCCCGTAAGTCAAGGATTGAGTTTCATTTGAGCGAAAAAAGGTAGGCGTAAGCCTGATCTGAAGAAAGTTCGTCGGTTAAGCCTAGGCCTCACCTGAAATCAGTTTGAGGATTTGCGATTTTAGCGATGGATACAGCAACGAACACAACGTTGATTTTTCTAAAGTCCTTTCATAGATAATCCGAGGATGACGAAGAACGCATATATAGTAAGTTCCTCTCTCCTCATATTGGCAGTGGTTTCGTTTTAAAAGTCGCGTAGTAGCCAGTTAGATATGACCTTTTTCTTCGAAAGCTGTTTCCTGGGTCTTGTTCTTTATCTTTTCGTTTTTACAAACGATCAATATAATGGGAAAAAATCTTCCCTTTTTCTTCTCGTAAGGTTCTAGTTGCCTGAAATCGACTTTAAACAGATCCTATTCGACTTGGAGCCCCTGTTCGGCATCCAGTGAAAGTTTATCGAATTATTCACCTCGCTCATTATTTCATCTTCAAATTCCGAGATCACAGATTTAAGTAGGTGAGATTTATCTTGCGAAATTACATCTTTATTTCCCCTGCGTTCTCTTGAATATGCGAGAGTGTACGTGAAAACATGCATATTTTGGAAAATGTGTTCTCACATGCTTCAACATTATACGTAGGCATTTCTATTAGACTCGGGAGGCCTGCAGGGCACCACCAAGCGAAATCAAGGACACCTAAAAGGAGACGTGAGGACGAAAGAGAGAAGATGCCGAAATCGATGGACAGGTCAGTGGTTCCATCCTCAACTCCTTGGTCAACCTCATGGCTTTAGAAAAATATTATGCCTTTGGAACGGGGTTTAGATTTCACTAAAAAAAAAAAAGTTGCCAATGGGCGCGATAGCGCCCATTACATTCCTTCAACCTCTTCCGTCGACAATATTCAACCGTCTCGTATTCCTCTCTGAGAGAATCAACGGGAATGAAATTGGGCACATTTCTTCCTCTCTCAACACAGAATCAGAAGCTCCATCTCCTCGGTGTTGTGGCGATCACTGAATCTCGCTTTTTGGGGGGCTGGTGAGGTTGAACAGAGGTAGAAACTTTTTAAATTGGTTTTCACATTCATACATACAATTTTACTAACGGAGTTCATGAACTCATGGGTGCAGGCTATTCATGGAAAGATCGAGGTTTGAAAGTTACACTTTGGCCAATAGCCACTCTTGCGCTGGTTATTACAGTTTCTTCGTTATGTCACTGATTGGCCTGCGATGCGTTTAAGGGGCGCAAGAAGAACGATCGAGACATTAGTTCCTACGTCGGCAAACAAAACAGAAACACGATGGGCGGAATGCAATTCGCAAGCGTAGATTTGCGTCTTACAGGCCAAGCAACCTTTAGCTATATATTCCATGTCCTTTCTGCTGTGTTAAGCGTTGTCCATTCAGTAAAGAAAAGGAAAGTTTGAAAGATTCTATAAATAATGGTGCTATTACGATGGGAGGGATTTGTGAGTCTTGCGGTGTGCTTCATTTTCTAATTTCTCATGCACTTGTGAACAGGGGGGCGGAGAGGCAAGGGAACAAGCAGCAGAACCCAGCCAAGGGTGGACGGACTCCCAAGGTTTGTAGGCATTGCAAGCATTACTTCTTCTCACGCCTCATCAAAGACAGATTCTTCACGAAGATAGGCGTGTTCTTTTTCTAACTGGTGGGCAAGGTACAGGAAAAACGTGGCTACTCCTCAAGAGAGCCGAGGAACTTGCACACGGTGGGGAAGAAGTCATTATCGTCAACATGTCAGGGGGAGAGCTTACCAATGATCCTTGTTACCATGAGACTCTGGATTTCCAAAAAATCATCGATTCCCTGGGAAGAGAACGAGTGGAGCTACTGACAGAAATCAAGAGAAACACAGAGAACTTGGGGAAATTTGTCATAGATGTGACCCAGTTCATTCAGGAGAGGTTCCCCTGCTCCTTCTTACTCCCCATGCAGGGTTTAGAAAGCAATAAATTTCTATGTATGGGCTCGTCTGCGCACAACGCAACACCTCAAGTTATCTTCGTCAAAGCATCCCCGAAAGACAACGAGGCATATCTGTGGGCATCGGAGGCTGCGGTAAAGATTCGATCAATCCTGACAGACGTCCGATCCTTTACGATCATCACCAGAGAAGGCCACGAAAGAAATGTTCTTGTGCGAGAACTTGGAGGACGCCTGGCGCAAAAAGTCGCCTTCCTCGACGAGAGCGGCAGGCTTCGAGGACAATCTGATCCGGAATTCCTTGTCGTCCATGAGATGCAGGTGGTGGGGATGTCATTCCAGGATCTCATCCTCTTGGACGATGGAAAATGCTTCTACCGCTCTTGGTCTCGCATCGTGTGCATGGCCCGTGGCTCTCTCCATGTGATCACCACAAATCCACTTCCCTCTGGTTGCTGGGAAGAACCTCAGCATCTCGGACTCGTCTCATCCTGGTCTCTCATGAATCCTGGCAAGCCATCATCGGATGTTTCTCGTGATCAACTCAACGAGCCATACGTGAAGATCTCATGGCCGCCTTCCTTGGAACAAGAATCTTCCCCATCAGCAAATATCGTCACTGAGGGGGAAAGGTTCCTGCTTCTATTTGGACAAAATCAATCTGGAAAGACTACATTTCTCATGAACAGATTAAAAGGGAAGGCAGAGCATGTAAAGGAGGAAATGAGTAAGGACGAATTAAGAAGCAAGACACGAATTCTGTTCGTTGACTGTAGCAGATGGTACAGGTACAGATGTTCTAAAACCCTCTTCTTAGCGAGCATGAAAGAGAGAATGAAGAAGATAGGACTGGAGAAAGTGGTAGAGGTCTTCGACGTCCATGACCTCCTACAAGACTATGGATTCAATTTAGAACTGTCTGTTTATCCGCAATCTATGGAAAAGCTTCTGGTAAAAATGTCTCAAGAGGGGGAAAAGGAAGGACAAACTATTCACATTGCCTTGGACAATGCCCCCGTTCATGCGATCGGACGTGGACCTGGAGATACGGATGGATTGAGGAAGGATTGGGAGTCCATCCTTGAAAATCTCTTTTCCTATACTTCTCTCGCTTCTCTCACCATCGCCTTCCTACCCTACGTCGGGTATGCCACCGCCACCTGCGACGTGAAGAAGTTCGTGAAGGAATTCAAAAATGACCTTCCAGAAACAAGTAAGATCGAAACTTTATTCCATGTTAACCTCATCATGAGGTCTGCCCGACCATGTCTGATTTTTTTTTAAATATCGAATTTGGCTAGGAGTGAATTATTAATACAAATATGGACGTAAAATTCTGCTGCAGTTGAGAAGAAAGCATGAGAGAAAATATGCCACTAGCTCATTTTGGCACCTCTGTTCACCTCCCAACTAGCTACACTTCACTGTACATCCAGTTAAATACTAATGAAAAATAATACAATAATATATTCATCTCCAAATGATTCGAATAGGTTTTGGAATGGAAAGAATTGGATAATAATTCATTTTGAACACCTGTCGAAGTTGAGCTTGTATCGTAAAAAAAAGTTGAATACTCAACCTCTTCAACAAGTGACCGTGGTTCTTAGCCTTTCACTTCCTTTCACAATGTCGACAGAATTTCTTGCCAAGGATGAGACCAATATGCATTTCTTTTTCGAATTTGAAGAATAACCTGGGGTTCTTGTTCTTTGAGGGACGTGCACCTTTTCCTGGTGAAGTCTGAATGGGTCACAACATACAGTTTGATTTTGTCCTTAGTGTGCATTGTATTTCTTCAGATGAGGATAGCAGATTGTCTGTCCATGATCTAAACCAGAAAACCCAGTTCTTTGTTTGATGGTGGTTAAGATGTCCATTCCAAAGGTCTTAAAGGCGTACGTGACCGAGTTTTTTTGCGTGCTTTGTCAAAAGCATTTCTCATTTAAGGCTATGCCAATGGCTCAGAACTCCAGTATACAGCATGTGTCTGGAATAAATATAGTAGCACATTTATGAGGGATACCTCGTTCATGTTAAAATTGAGCAATATTTAAGGCAATTTCCTAAGCCTATCATAGATCTATTGTTGCTTGTGATTTGAATGCCTTCCTGCGAACAAACTCGGAATGGGTTCCCGTTCGCTGCCCGAGGACATAAGAAAGTAATTCATATGAACGCTTTAACGCTCATAGGGATTTCACCATTTCAACCGCACCCCTTGCTATTTTATAGAACGCCTCTTCAAACGTGTGAAGAAAATCATTACTTTTATTGCATCACATTTTTCAAGAAAGAGCCTCAGCTCATATTTCAAAATTTGCAATAAATTTTCTGAAGCAATAAATTAGCCCAGGATTAATTTCACGAAATATTGCAACCCCTGGCCCGCATTGTCATCTAACCTAGCACCTGATTTCTTCTTGCTGGAGTACAATATGATAATGCCTATTGAAGGAAGCCACGCACTGCCGAGGAACTGAATGACAAAATTTGTGAATGTGTCGTTGGCATTATAAAGAAACTTTCACCGAAACCACGAACAATGCGCTGCTTCGTTGCAGAGAGTCTCCATTGGAATGGCGGACACCTGGGATATTACTTTCTCCACATGAGAAATAAATAAACGTGAAACAAGTGCACTGCAAATGAACTTACAACTGCATGGCTCCAGTCTTGTAAAGTTTTCCTTACGGAAATGTCCTATAGGAAACCTATATTTATTTCTTATAGGAAACCTATAGACTTTCCTATAGGTTTGTGAAACACGAAAAACCTATAGGATCCTTTAGGATCCCTATAAGGTCTTATAGGTCTCCTGACCTATAGGATTCTGGGAGGATATTTTGGGTTTCGAAACCCAGGCATTACGACGGAAAAGGCGACCGGGGTTAATATTAGCGCAGCATTTCGGTGTATATCAAAACCCGATTAGATGTTTTTCCATGGTAGGGACACATGCATTATTAATACCAGTACAGCGGGGGTCTGCATAATTTATGGCCCCGCCCACATGTGTCGCTGGATTGCATGTCTACTTCCTTCGGTAGGAAGAAGTAGTAATCTTCTCTCGACCTCAGGAAATAGACGACCGAACGTGCGAGCACGTCTTTTTACTTAAACTCCATTTGGATAGTGTTTTCTCAGTTTCGTACGTGGTTTTCAAAAGGAACAAGGGCATATTTCTTCACGGGACTCCATGATTCTATCTGGAAGATGGGGATGACAAATAAGGAACTGTCGAAGTTCATTGATTGTTATAATGAAGCAAGGCGAGACATTTGGGGACGTACAAAACTCTCCTGTGAGAGATGATTCCTTGGGTAAGGAGAGGGCACTTTTGTGTCCTTTGAGAAATGTGAGTACCCAATACTTCCATCTAGTGGCCTAGAAGAGAACTTCAAACGGAACCCAACAGGTCCTATAGGTTTTATAGGGAACCCTATGGATCCTATACAGAACCGTTTGGTTCCTATAGGGAACCTATAGGTCTTATGGGGAACCCTTTTGGTTCTATAGGGGGATCTATGGGTTCTATTGGGGACTCTATAGGTTCCATGGGGATATAGGTCCCAAACTGAACTCTATAGGTCATATAGGATCCTATAGGATTCCTTTAGGTTCATATAGGATTCCTATAGGATTCCTATATATTCCTAGAGGAATATATAGGAATCCTATAAGACATTTTCGTAAGGGTTCATATTCCTAAGTGCAACTGACTCGAAGTTATCAACAAAGAAAATGCGTTCACAATTGGTGGGACACATTATACCTCTGCCCCCCTCCCCCCCGACTCACTTACTTGCCACCTAATGCTCTACCACTTCGAGCAGACAAGTATCTTGCCGAGAAGGGCGAGTAAGGGAAAAGGGAGCAACAGAGATGGATTCTACTTGCCTACTCCTACTCTCACTGTCCCCATAAAAGATTTGGGATTGAATCTCAATTCATTTTATCATTCTTTACTATTTAGTTTAAAATAATCATTAAGACATATTCTACGGAGGAGCTTTTGAAGTATTATCCGTTGTGAGTAGTCTCTCATTATAAACGCATTTCTACCTCCTTTGTTCTTCCACTAGGGGTGATGACCCTGGGGGGTGGATATCGGAATGTAGGTTTCCCCAGCTTCCTCCGTTATGTCCTCTCCCACGAATCCCCCTATGAGCTGAGGGTGAAGCCTGGGACCTTGAACACAAGGCCTCAGCCTCCTCCCTAGTGCCCGGGGAGAAACCCCTTCTCATTACTCCTCCTCTGGAGGCACATAACCATGGAGGATTCATGTGCGTTGGTGGCCGGGGTCGAGGATGCCTTGCCGTCACAGCTGCGGCTTACCTTCACTCCCAAGAATATGTATGTTCTAATATTCCTTATTCCGTCAATAGCACCTCTCAAAAATCTCATCTCTATTTTCCTTTTTTATATTGGACCTATACTTTTTTTCATACTAAGACTGCTTGCTCCATTTTGAGTTTGTTGCAAGGATGAAATTTCAGTTTCTACACTCATCAACCATTTCACATCGATACGTTGAAGTAGTTTACAGTCTCATATTCTCCTTGAGGTACCCTTCCGATGATCGTGACTGACTGACGACTGACCCTGATATACTATGTTTCAGATTCGATGCACGTCTATTGGCGTTTTCGACAAAAGTAGATCGGTTTTAATGCAGCGATATTATGAGAATAGCTACTACAAACTAGATAAATACTGGATGAGAGTGATGATATTTCGTTCGAACTCTTGGTTGCACCAGTGGCATCACTAAGACTACTCTTCTGCAACTCATTTCCGACAGCATGTTTGTGTGTACCTTTAATTTCTTGAATTTCAGTTTCGTCCATTCAATTCTTCCACAAGCTGGAGCCTACGCGAAGACATGCTATCTAGGACGAATTACAGTAGACTCTTCGCGAAATTCGACTCTTCTACAATAGAGAAGAGTCGCATTTCGCGAAGAGTCATCATTCTATTTGGTTTCTGATCGGTCGCAACAGGTTTAGAGACGTCCTGTTGAGCGATATTTCTAAGAACAATAGGAAAACTGTAACAGATTGGAAGGAGAATGTATAATTGTGAGCTACCTAGGCTGGTGACCTTAGTGACCTAGGCTGAAGCTAGGGAAATTCCCAAAATGAACGAGCGTGATACTGAAGTGTTGACAATTGATTTCCAAGCAGCCTTTTTGTTGTTCTACAACGAAGTAAAACGATTCTGCAACTTTAACTTGACCTAAGTTTTGAAAGGTCCCTTAAACTTCATCTGCGAGAATGCAACACTCGCCATGTATGTCGGGAGCGATCAAGAGTTCGTTCAATCGAATCGTCAACACAGGAAACTTTTAATGTAAAATTTTTGAGACATGAAAAACGCTCAAGAAGATTTGTTACAATGGACGGATAAAAGTAGGCTAAGACTACCCGTAGACAGTCCGTCGGTTAGGCCTAGGCCTAACGTTAGTTAGTTCCATCATAGAGTAGAGAGTGTAGCTAGAGGCGACATTCCGAGAAGTGGGGGGGGGGGATTTGAAGTATTACAGGGACATATGGTGGCTTGTTATCAACAACTCTTCCATGAGGCGTGATTCGTGGCAGTGAAATCGGGAATCGACTCGTTTGGGGATCCGACCCAAATCGACCCCTCATCGTAACACGCGTTTCTCGTCGAGTCTGCTGTTCGGCTTATGGAGGAGTTGTTGATATGCTCACGCTAGTTGGAGGATCGACACCGACACCTATATTGCGACCCTGTCAATGAATGGGATTCGAGCGGAGTGTCCCCTCTAGTCACACTCTCCACTCTATGGTTCCGTAGAGAATTGGGGAAGGTGAGGTTGAGGCTGAGGTTGGATTAAAATTGAAGAAAGGGAAAAAATTGAAATTGAAAATTGGTTTTCACATTACTACATGCCAATATATTTATGGGTTGACGCCATCTTGTCCTCCATATATTCACTACAGGGGATCATAAATAAATCCTCTCCTGAAGGGGAGAAGAAGGAGGTCGTGGTACTCATCTCGGATGAGGAGATCAAGAACGTCTTCACTGAAGCTCTCAAATGCATGGAGGAAGCGACTGGGACAACATTGAAAGTAGTACTGAAGATATACCATCCAAAGGATTACCGAGGCTGTGAGAGCTTCCACGTGATATGTGTGGGGGTGGAAGACTCGTGGGTGGTAGAGGGGATATCCCGAGCCATCCGAACCCTCCTCGTCGTCGATGGAGGGGCCTCCAACGCAGCACGAAGCCGTACGGAACTGTGGAAGGAGATGGTGCGGAAAGGCCTTCTGTCTCACAGGCCTTGGTCATCCTCCCCTGCCCTTGACTCCATTTCTCCGGCGGACTGGCAAGAATTGAATAAAATAAGCAGTTTTCTAAAGGTGCGGTGTTCGTGCCTCATGGCTAATATGTTGCACCCCTTCCTTCATTTGGAAATGAGTTTTGAATCGCTTTCTCCTGTATCCTCTGCAGATCCCAATGAGTACTGGGACGGAGGAAGACCCTAGGAAAGAGACTTCTTTTCCAGAAGGTAATTCGTATGAGCAATTTCCATGACCTTATTGGAAACATTGATTAATCTCGTTAATGAAATGAAGGAGACGTTTTCTTCAATCGAGTCTTTACATGCAATCTCAGAAAAATGTATTATTATTAGAGCTGCTTTCAATCAGGAAAGAAACAGGGACTAAATTTGGAAAAAAGGAAAGGTATAAAACATATACAATCTTTTGAAATGGGGTGACCAGAATGTGGGAATGATTGAACAAGTTTCGTACAAACGAAATAAATTAACGATAAACCTTTTTACTCTAAAGCTCTTGCCTGCCGCAACACTTCTGGGGCTCCCCTAACGTAATAGGAGGATGTAACACTTACCGGAAAAGACCCGTATGCCAGAAGTTTTGCTTATTTGCTATGCTTCGTTTTGATTCAAGGATGTGTCCAGCACGTGATACGCGTACAGAAGTATTGTAGGAGGCCCCAAAATTTATACGCATAACTCATAAAATTAGTGCAAGTAATTTGAAGAAAGTATTGTAATAGTTGACTGAAGGCTTTACACTCCTATCTGAATTTAAATTTTCATTCTGTGCGTGACGTATTTTGTGCGTCAAACATTTTTCACCAGCACATGGTTTCTCGCACCACTTGAAGCCCAACCACAAACCGCCGGCTGAGAGACGTTCATCTACAGGGATAGAAAATGCTCCAGGAAGGATAACTTTTAACCGTAGAGAGAAAAGGGGGACTGCGAGATAGCATAACGGTGTGGGCTGCACTCATGCATTCATGAGCTGGAATTGACAACTGGTAGATTTTAGAACTCTCATCTAGGGAGTCCGCTTGTACCTTGATTGGGTTCAGACGTTATCAGATGATATTCGGACCTGAAACACCCTCGTGACAAGGGAAGTGCGACGATCGGTGTCTACGTCGAAACTGCACTTCGATCGATGATTGCGAATTTATGTCCGCAACTATTTTGGTCGCAACAAAAACGCCGATAACCGCTTCATTCCTTACTGTCAGATTTCATTTATATTTAATTTAGAAATGGTGTACGCGACAAAGAAGATCTAAGATCTGCAGCGTCTCCTTGAAACAACCTATTTTTTCTTTGCAGTGCTTCGTTAATTTGGAAAAGTCATAATCATTTGTCTTGCAGGGACGCAGAGGATTTTCGCCATGGGGGAAAGTGCAGACGGGCGATTTGGGATGTGGGAACTCCGTCCGGACCAGATTCTCTGGGTTAATGTCCCCTATAGCACAACCGACTTGTTTCTTGTCGACTCAGGTCGACTTATTTACGCAGGAGGCGAGGAAGTGAAGATTCTCCATTTGGAAGAAAAGGATTCCCGTGAAGCTCCTTACAGATGGGATGAGGTCTTTCGCGTCTTATCCACCCGTATCCCTTTCCGCGTCGAGCGAACAACGGGGATCGTGATTCAGGACTATCTCTTCATGGCTGGAGGGGAGGGAAATCCAAGGGAAGTACGGTCTCTCAATCTCGGCAGAGGGACGTGGATGGATCTTCCCCAGATGAGAGAAGGAATATATAATGCAGCTGCAGTAATGAGGGATCCACACACAGTCCTCGTCTTGGGAGGTTACGATCCAGATGCAAAGAGATTCCTTTCCAGCTGCGAATTTTTCGACGTACGAGAAGGCCAGTGGTCCCTCTTCCCTCATAGCATCCCACATCCTCTCAGACAGCACGCCGTCACCGTATACGATCATGATATATACCTTTCGGGCGGATTTGGAGAGGAGGGATCCAGGAGGGAGGTGTACAAGTGGGAGATGAAGGGCGATGGGCCCTGGCACACACTCCCACCTTTAAATAAAAAGAGACATGATCATGGGATAGTGAGAAACGGAGCCATGGGACTCTCTGTCATCGGCGGGATGAACGAGACCCAGTCAGTGACAAAAGTTCTGGCGACGGAGACTTTCAATATGAATGAATGGGTTATCCAGGGGGAACTTCCTTTCCACAATCTCTGGAAGGCGACGGAGATGAAGTGAGTTGGTGTAAGGTGATCCCCGAACTCATGCTTTCCTATCTTTCTACCTCTATCTACACATTCAAGAACTTTAAACTGAACCCGATCCAGTCCAAGTGGATCCATCGTCCTTCCTTCCATGTTCGATTGATGCAATGTTGCGTCGACATTGCGACCCTCAGTCAGGAGCCGTGGTTAAGATGCACCGAGTGAAGGTGGCCATCCTGCTCTCGCTCCCCTATCCGTTCTCTTCCTCTTCCCGCCTTTTCTACTTTTCCACTTGAGGAAGTGAGGGACCTTGGATAAATGCCTGATTTCTCAGCCAGTATGTGCTCCGTCAAAATTTTTTGTTGAGAATAATGTGTAATAAACGATGCTCCGAGAAGTGGTGCCGCCTTTGGAATCCAGCGATAATGAAGGACGTATTTGATCTATGATCCCATTATTCTTCTAATGATGAAGACTAGAGCTGTTTCACTTCGTTTTCCTCATTAATCTATCAAGTTTTGTTATCACCCAAGGTAAACATACTTTTTTAACAGTTAAATTACACCACGTGCTAGAAGGAAAAAATATGATATGATACATTAAAAAGTGCAGTTTCCATTTCCTAGCTATAGTTAATCGAGTAGACGATTCTGTCTTTTGCCTAGTACTGGTCCGTCTTTCTTGGCCGAAACGCATTGATGGAAGAAATGCCTGGAAACGATATGTGTACAATCCAAGACGGATTTCATTTCGATTTTCTCCCTTCCATGACTTTTAAATGCAAGATTATTATCAGATTATGTTCCTCTCAGGCCTGGAAAAGAAGCCAAGAATGATAGAGTATTTTTGTGGAATGTA